AGCAGTTGCAATGATCTTGGAGTTTATGAATTAATGAAACCAGAACCTCGGCTAGGAGGTGGGATTTCAAGCAGCTTGGAAAGCATGAAACTTGATTCTTGACACCAGTGGACAGTATAGTCCAGGGAACTTTGAGGTCGGCGAGTTTGATCTCGGACAGAGGGGCACAGATGAACGAACAGTGTAGATTCCATCACCTCAGAATGCCGGGGTAATAGAACCTAGGGGGCAGTTGTGGGGATATATTTTCTGAGTACCAACACGTGGCAAGGTGACGCCAACGTGTCAGCCGAGGTGCCACGTGCCCTGGTCGTGATGCCGAGGTGATCTCGGCAAGGCCGAGGTTATCTCCAAAGATATCGAAATCCGAGATAAGTGGATAAGGGACAAGAGTCCTAGAATGAAAAGGGAACTCAACCTGGATGAGGGACAAGAGTCCTAGAATGAGAGAAGACTTCAGTTTATATTAAGATAAAACTCTTAGAGAGTTTATCCTAATGTTACTAGGAGTCCAAGATTAGCAGTAATCCTGAGTCCATAGAAGTTAGACTTCTATTGGGACTAGGTTTATGTTGGCCATAAAAAAGAGGCACCCCCATGGGTCTAAGGTATACTTTTGATACTCAAGCTTGTGAGTTTAGCACTTGATTTATCTTTGAGAGATATACTAACTTGATCGTCGGAGTGCCCCTGGGTGGTTGAACCACCGCCGGAGACTTCTCTTTCTGTTACAGGTTAGCTAAAGGTCATCTATTCTGCCAGTGCTTTTCCAGTTGAATACTAGGCGGGCAGTGTGGTCAGAAAATCACTCACGCAGACCTAAAATGCGAGCGCATGGATTCTCTCATCTTCATTATTTTATGTCCTTTTATTATTTGAAACCAACTCTTGTTACATGATAAAGGTTTCCATATTTTGTGTAACAAATGGGAAATTCGATAGTATATGCTCTATATGTTCAATTATGATGTCTGGAATTTTTTATTATGATATATTACAGTATTAATTATGATTTAATTATATTTTGTTGTGATATATTAATTATAATCTTTTTAAGCAATTTCAATTGCACACTTAGTAAAATAGATCTTTTAGTTTAGCATAAGAGTATCTTTGATGGTTTGATACGTAATGAATTAATTATTACTATAATTTAGTAATGAATAATGTTAAAATATTTTATTTTAATAATCTTGCTTCAAAAGTACAAAGTAAATTTTTTGAACTGTTCTCTCAAATTATCAAATCAAAATACTATATGTCAGCCCCTAAAGGAAACAGATAGACACCAAAATTTTAACTATAGGTAAATTTTATACTATAATTGACATAATATTTATCTATAGATAAATATATAACAAGTCATATGTCATACTATTTAAAGTGAAATTTTGAAAATAACATATAACAATACAAGTCACATAACCCAGTATCATAACCTGTTTGGACTGGGTAACTTGAGAAGAAAATAAAAGAATTTCATTTCCCTTGATCTATATATATATTCGTTTAGATAAGTAGAAAATTGGGAGAGAAAAGAAATCAATTAAATATTGTTTTATTATAATATCAAAACTATTTTTTTAGATAAAGAAGAAATAAAAAGACTAGGAGAAAAAAAAAAACCTTAAGGTTTGAGCTTTATAACAAAATGAATTTTTAATTTTACTAATTTAAATCATGATATATTGATTTGTTTTCAATTTAAACTATTCGTCTATTTTCGTTAACTAAAATTGATGGAAAAAAATAATATTTTAGTTATTAAACTCAATGTAAGTGTACAAACTAGTAAAATATATATTTTTTTTTAATAAATTCTACTTAATAAAAATATTTAGATAGTTTACATTTAAAACAAATTAAAATATTAGAGTTTAAATTGATAAATTAAAAAATTAGAATTTATTTTGTTACGAGGCTCAAAACTTGAATTATTTTTTTAAAATTTTTCCAAAAGACTAATACCTATAAAAGCTTAATTTGATAATATAACATGAAATCTTTTCTTCTTTGTGCTTTTGTTTTATATAATTTAACCAAGCAATATGGAAAATAAATCAAATTTTTTTGGGAGCTTTTTTAATAAGTCCATTCTCTAAGAATCCTATTCCATAAACCCCATAGTGTTTTCTACTGTTCCATCAGGTCCTATTTTATATTAGAAGACCAAAACACCCTTCTCCTCTTCCTCTCTCTTTTTTGCAGAAAATCACACACAATATCTCCACCCTTTCGAAAACCCAAAATCGTATTCCATATCGTCTCACACCCATACGTATTTCATTGTTCCATCGTCGCAACGTCTCATCATTGGCTTCGTCATACCTCCACCATCTGTCTATGGAAATCACCATTGGTGAACATCCTGAAGTTCCATCTTCGTCAAAATCACCACCGATGACCATTTGTGACAACCCAACCGTCAATATGGAAAAAGAGTAAGTAATCTCACCAATCTTGTATGTAAACCCTTAATCTCTTGTTTAAATTACACCATTGTGAACTTCCAATATCCCCTGTTTCTATTCATACAATGTGTAGAACTTCATATTTTTATTGTTCATGCCCTAATTGTTAATGTGAACCCCTCAATCCCAATCTCCAAGTATATGGTTTTGTTCACCCAAAAATAATGCAATGGCAATTACGTTGTGTTGTCAAAAGCTAATTGAACATTTACATGGGAATGAAAAATGTTGGGCCAAGCCAATTATTTCAGATGTTTTGTGTTGTTGTATGTTTTAATCATGTGAATCTCCTATACCATTTCTATTAATATGAACTTCTACAGTAGTGAGCTTCATAGTGTATGACCTTATTCATTCAATGTGCGAACTTCATATTATATCTGTTATTGCAAACATAGTTATGTGAACATTCACATTACTGTTCATTACTAGATAAAAAATCTCAATTATAGATACTTGATGTGAACATTCAATCAGTGTTATAATGATGTGATTTCACATTACTGTCACTGTTGATATTGTTGATTGTTGATGTTCATAGAACCCCCAATCTTCACTCAACAATGTGATGGAATATGATGTAAACATTCATATTGTGACATCAATGTCAGACTTGTTGGTGTTGTTGGGTGTTGTTTGGTGTTGTTGGTTCCACCCTTTGTTTTTTAGCCAATTATAACATAATGTGATCACCCATGTAAACATTTACATTGCCCTATAACTGTTGTTGTTTTCGGAATTGATTTTGCAAACATAGATGATGTAAACATTCACATTACTGTTCATTATTGGATAAACTTACATTGTTTTTGTTGGTGTTGATGCCCAATTTTTTATGGTTGCCAACCCTATTTTAGTTTAATGTGAATTCTTGTAAGGATGTTATAAATAATAACATCTTATTGTTTCTCTTATTATTGAGTAACAACCAATGTGAACATTCACATTTTGAGGGTAGCCATTTTATGAATTTACATTATGGTGTATGTTGTATCTCTATCCTTATGTCAATGTCGGACTTGTTGGTGTTGTTGGTTATTCATGGTGATCAAATAATTACAACCTTAATTTTGGATGGTTGTCAATGTTGTTTTAGTTCAATGTGAATTCTTGTAGGCATCTTGTAAATAATAAAATCTTATTGTTTCTCTTGTTATTGAGTAACAATCAATGTGAACATTCACATTCTGAGGCTAGCCATTTTATAAATTTACATTATGATGTTTGTTGTGTTGTTTGTTGATTATCTGCTTTATTCTCAGTTTCGTAGTCTCAAATGTTTGTGTAACAATCAATGTGAACATTCACATTCTGAGGCTAGCCATTTCGTATCTGTTGTTTGCTTTATGTTGTGAAATTTTGTTCGTGTCAATATGAAAAATCAACATGTATTGGTGTTGTCTCACTCCTATTTGTACCCTAGCAGTAATGTGAGTAACAATCAATGTTTGTGTTGTTTGTTGATTATCTGTTATTGAGTAACAATCAATGTGAACATTCACATTCTAAGGCTAACTATTTCACATGTGTTGTTTCCTTTATGTTGTGAAATTTTGTTTGTGTCAATATGAAAAATCAACATATATTGGTGTTGTCTCACTTCTATTTGTACCCTAGCAGTAATGTGAATATTCACATCTCTAATTTCAATGTCAATATTCACATTATGAATATAATGTAGATATTCAACTTTTAATATCAATGGAATATGACAGAGTTGTTGGTATTGTTGCGTGTTGATGGTTATAAACCAATTAGAGCTCCTAATCTTAGATGATTGTCAACTCTCTTTTGGTTCAATGTCAATTCCATTACACATAATGTATACAATATTTAAAGGGTGATCAAATATGATGTGAATATGGTGTAAATATTGATATTGATGTAAATATTAGCTTCAATGTCAATATTCACATTATGAATATAATGTAGATATTCAACTTCTAACATCAATGGAATATGATGTAAATATTTACAGAGTTGTTGGTATTGTTGCGTGTTGATGGTTATAAACCAATTAGACCAAATTCCACCAAACTTTCTGAATTCTTCTTCAATAGAATATAATCAAATTGAGCAATTCTTGACAAGTGGATCTGACCTGTTTGTATTAATAATTGAGGATACCATCTAAGAAAACACAAATTTCTACCTCAACCATCTCAGAAAACCATTTCAATTTCATTTGTACTTGCAGCATGTATTCACAAAGTAAAATTCAAGCTGATCTCAATTCTACAAACCACGAAACGTCGTCGCCGATGATGAACCAACTGTAGTCCAAATTTAAGATCAAATTATAAAACAATGTTCAGATTCAATGAATTGTTATGATTTATTTTATTTTTTTTTATAATAAAACTCAAACAACTACTTAGACATGAAAAGAATCAAAACAATAAATCTGCAAAATAAGGTAATCCAATTCGTATATGCAATTTAAACCAATTCTTGAAAAGTAAATAATCAAATTCCTAAACCCAAAATACAAAATAATCAATTTAAAAAACACAAAACAAAAAAATGTACCTGTGATGTTTGTGGAGGTGGTTTTGCGATGAAATTTTCCAAATGAGGCAACAAGAAACAAAAGTACCCTCATACAACTTTTGCATTTCAGCACTCTTCCTACCTCTATATGTTTTTTCAAAAATAACTCTTTATTCTCTAATTGTGTTTGTCTATCTCAAAAATGAATCTACCTACTCAAAGAAAGCTAGCAAGAAATGAAATGATAGCTCATCAAAATACAACCAAACAAAAAGTAGAATTGGTGGATTAGAAGGACAAAGGTGGGTTTTGGGAGGGGGGAAACTAGAAAATGAACAAATGTTAGGGTCAATAATTATGGATTTGGGTGGGAGAGAGGAAGGGTGAAGAGGAAATGAATGAAAGATAGTGTTTGGGGATGGTGTATTTGATGTGATTTTGGTGAGGGTGGGGCATTTGGATAGGATGGAGATATTGATGGATTTGGGACTGTTTCACTGTTCTGTCGGGGTTATTTGGGATGTTCTAAATAAGTGTACTATGAATCTACCTACTCAAAGAAAGCTAGCAAGAAATGAAATGATAGCTCATCAAAATACAACCAAACAAAAAGTAGAATTGGTGGATTAGAAGGACAAAGGTGGGTTTTGGGGAGGAAAAAACAAGAAAATGAACAAATGTTAGGGTCAATAATTGGGGATTTGGGTGGGAGAGAGGAAGGGTGAAGAGGAAATGAATGAAAGAGAGTGTTTGGGGATAGTGTATTTGATGTGATTTTGGTGAGGGTGGGGCATTTGGATGGGATGGAGATATTGATGGATTTGGGACTGTTTCACTGTTCTGTATGTAGGGGTTGTTTAGGATGTTCTAAATAAGTGTACTTTTTGACTTTTTATAAAATATGGATTGGGTTTGAAGTGATGTGTTAAAGAGGTGATGTGACTTAAATAAGATGATGTGACTTAAATAGGATAGTGACTTTTTGACTTTTTGACTTTTTTATAAGTTACCAAACCTGGCCGTAATGTGAATGTGAAGTTATGTAGAGGGAGAAGAGAGAGAGAGAGAGAAGAAAGAGGGGGTTGGATTCAGTGAATTCCTCAAGCAAGTGGGGGCCACTGACATGCAAGTTGGAATGGTGTCCTCCAAGGTTCTTCACCCCTACCCTCTTTCCTTCTTTCTATTGTATACCTTCTTTTTCTTTCTCTCTCATCTTTTTTTTCTCTTTCTCTCTCTAGATGGCCTCATCAGTCAACACCAAGCATCTACTTTATTATTTTCAAAAATTTTCACAATAAAATCAATCACATCATGTTTCCAATACCATGTACCACATTCATAGAATAGGAGCCTCATCATGCACCCAAAACATTAAAGAAATTGTCTGGTATTCATTTTCTTTAACAAAAAATTTAATATCATTTTACCACTAATTTAAATAAAATTAAATTGTTGGGTATTCATTTTTTTTAACAAAAAATTTAATATCATTTTACCACTAATTTAAACAAAAATGTTAGAAACTCTAGAATAATTATTAAATATTTTACATAATATTTATATATGTATAGGGCTTGTTTGGTTTGCTTTTAAGAGAGTTTTTTTGAAAAAAAAAAAATTCAAAATTTTGTTTGGTTTGTGATTTTTCTCAAAAAAATCAAAATTACTTTATCTCTCTTACATATCTATCAATCACTTTTTTTCTCTCATCTCTCCTTCTCAATCACTTTTTCTCTCACACATATCTACTCAATTACAACAAAATATCAAATCATTCAAAACTCTCAAACTTCAAAACTATTTTCAAAATATATAACTAAACAAACCAAAAAAATATCTACTTCAATGGTTATCAACTTTTTTTTGGTTCAATGTGTATTCCATTATACATAATCTGTATAACATTTAAAAGGTGATCAAATATGATGTGAATATGGTATAAATATTGACATTGATGTAAATATCTACTTCAATGTCAATATTCACATTATCAATATAATGTAGATATTCAACTTCTAACATCAATGGAATATGATGCAAATATTTACAGAGTTGTTGGTATTATTGTGTGTTAATGGTTATATAGCAATTAGAGCTCCTAATCTTGGATGGTTGTCAACTCTCTTTTGGTTCAATGTGTATCTCATTATACATAATGTCAATATTTACATCAGACTGCTATATATTGGTAATGACTTGTTTGTCTTAAATTGTCGCGTGTAATACACTCTTTTGTAATACACTCTCTATCTCCTCCATTGTGTCAATGTCAGATTTGTTAATGTTGTTGGTTGTTGATGATGATGAAATAATTACATTCTGAACATAATGCCAATATTCACATTCCAACATCAATGTCAATATTCACCTCCTGTTATCAATGGAATATGATGTAGATATTAACAAAGTTGTTAGTATTGTTGCTTATTGATGAAAATCCCCTAATCTTGAATGGTTGTCAACCTTTTTTTGGTTCAATCTGAATTTTATTGTACACAATGTCAATATTTACATCAGATTGTTAGATATTGATAATGACTACAAACCAATGGTAAGCCTTATATCAATTTGTACACATCTTCCACAACCATTATACACACCTAAATTTCAAATTCTAACAATAACAACTTTGCATTTTCAGAGTGGATTGCGGGCCCGTAGTGTGTTACATCATCAGGGCGCATGTATACCGTGAGGAACTTGTTGACAGCCTTAATTGCTTTGAATGGTGTCAAATAAGAGATTCATTGTACACATTTTTCTGAATCACACAAAGACAGTGCAATATGAAAACCTATAGGTGGGGGGTGTCCACCTGTAATTGTTATCCATAATTGTTATCCACATTTAAGATAATTTAGTATCAATAGTTTTGACATATTGAAGCAGACTAGCTTAAGTGTAAATCAATACTGTATCAATGCTTGTACTCCAATTTTTCATTCAATATATGTATATGCATTTTGAGGCCTATTTCATGTTGATCATTCACATGGATATGAATATTACTTAAAATATTATTGTAACACAATGTAACTGGTGTGAATATCATATTTCTTAACACATAAGTGAATATTCGCAGCAAATAATTTGATGATGTTAATAGTTACAGATGATATGAATATTCACATCATATGCTTTTATGTTGTAAATGGTAACAGGTATGTCAACATTCACACCGCGCCCATGCATATATCATAATATACATAACAACATCCTGTTTTGCTATCAGAAAATGCTCACAATGACAATTCGTAATACAAATCTGAATATTCACATCAAATGATTTGATAATGTGAATCGTTACAATGATATAAATATTCATGTTAACTACTTTGATGTTGTCAGTGGTAACAAGAATGTGAATACTCACATCAAATAGCATATTGCAGATGATGTGAATATTCACATCATATATTTTCATGTTGTAAATGGTAGCAGACATGTCAATATTCACACCGCGCCCATGCATGCATCATAATATACACAACAACATCCCATTTTACTAGCAAAAAACACTCACAATGACAATTCATAATACAAATCTGAATATTCACATAAATGATTTGGTAATGTGTTGGTAATGTGAATGGTTACAGTGATATAAATATTCATGTTAACTACTTTGATACTGTCAATGGTAAAAAGAATGTAAATATTCACATCACACACATGCATGCCTCACAATATACATGACCAGGAAAAACCATATAACCAACCAAAATTTAATTTAGATAATGATGTTGAAAGCAAGAAATAGATCATACAATCATTCATATACATTCACATTCTCAATGCGATATGAATATTCACCACATTAAAAAAAACAGAGCCATAACTCAACCACATAACCAGCCAAAATCCATAACCCCATACAACCAAAAAAAATTGCATGTCCATCAATTCTAGAAAATGAAATTGGAAGCAAAAAACAGAGCATACAACACTTCATATAAATCCAATCACAAATGACATACATCCATTACATACTAACCTTAAGACAATGTAATCAAACAGAGCACAGTATTCGTCTTCTCAAAATTCAAAAATCTCAATCTCTCAAAAAATAAAAAAAACCATCACACAAATCCTCCTCTGTATCTTCATAATTTTCATCTCCATCTTCATCATTATCACTATTATTAACACCTCTTACAATTCCACCATTACAGTAATCCAAATCAAACCAAACACTCCTCATCTCTTTATAAAGAAAGCTACATTATTGTATCAGAAACCTCATTCTTCACGATTCTAACACTCATTTCTTAAGCTTCCAAATAATATGAAATGTGAACATTCACATTGATTAACAGAAAAACCAAAAATAATGGCAGCAATAGAACTGTAAATCCAAAAAAAAAAACTCAATCTCTCTAAAAACAAAAATTTATCACCCACATCTTCAGCTTCATCATATCACTATCATTAACAACCCGTGTAATTTCACCATTCCACCAATCCAAATCAGATTAAACCCACCTTCGAAGAACAAGCATTCAAATCCATCTCATCTTTTCCTTTGATTCAATCTAGTTGAATGTGGGTTTTAGTCAATCTACTGAACAAGTTTGTTAGCCATTATCCCTATTTCTTTGATTCAAATCCTTTTCTCTTCCTTTGATTTCTGGCTGAAATCATAACTATGGCCAAAAAGAAAAACAGAGCATAAACTCTGAATCGTCATCTTCTCTTTTACAGGAATGAAACCGTATCGCAATGAAACACTACCACGAACTATGTGTTGTCGTCTTCTCTCTTATAGGAACGAAATCCTACCACAACAAAAACAGAGGGAAACATGTATATTATTTTGTATATAATATATATCAACAAATAGACATAAGGGTATAATAGTCCAACAAATAATATAAATTAGGAAAAAGAGACCTCATGGAATAAAAGTATAACTACATGAGACTAATTAAGTTATAATTTTACTTGGTGGACTTATTGGGTTAAAACACCTCTAAATAGGATTTATCAATAAATCTTTTATTTATGCAAACAAAAACTAGAAAAATTACTCTATTTTTTTTTTCTCTTAACTCACATATTCATTTCCTTTCTTCTCAACTAAATTACTAAACATATAGGGCTATTTGTTGTTTTTTAAGATGGGAATGTGGAGTGTTTGTTATAGCTTAAATGAATTGGCTATAACTTATTTTAATTTAAGAGTCTATATTTGATTATTTGATGTAATTTTTATTTATAATTAATTAGACAGAAACTTAAATAAATTGAAAAAAATTCAATTATCTAATGGGTGAGAAGAGGTGCTTTCAACTTATAATAAATTACACCAACTATACTTATAGTATTAAAGAAAACTTTAAAATTCAGCTTATAATGAATTACACTAAACATGTCTATAATATCAAAGAAAACTCTAAGGCCCCGTTTGTTTAGGGTTATAGGGAGGGGATTGAGTTTGGTAGTGAGGAGGAGATTGAGAATGGGGTGTTTATTTTGAGAGATAAGGAGGGGATTAGTAATCCCTTGGTATTAGTAAGGAGGAGGAAGGGGGATTGATAAGGAGGAGGTAGAGATGGTATTAGAAAAATAGTGAGGGGATTAGAAATTTTTTTATTTTTTTTTATTTTTTATATATTGGGATTTTTTTTTAAACATAATGTTTAATTTTTTATATTTTTTTATTTGTTTTATTATTTTATATAAAAATAATTTAACAATTCCTCATTATTAATCCCCTCACTATTAATCTCCTCACTATAAATCTCCTCAATCTTATCTCTGAAAACAAACGAAGTCTAAAATTCAGAATAGCACTGTTATATTCATTAAATTTATTTAATCCGAATTCATCAAAATAGAGGAACTCGTGCACGGAAACCTCCTCTCGAGAAGAGACTTAGAGCTATTTTGGGAAGTTAGCTTTTAGCCACTTTTTTTGGTGTGTAGCAAAAGCCAAAAGTTGGCTTTTTTGTCTTTTTTTTCATTTGGGAAGTTAGTTTTTAGCAAACGGTGAAATTACAATTTTACCCTCATGGGTCAAAATGTGTTACATAGGTGAAGTTGTAAATATTTTAAATAAATGGGGGTAGTTTGGTCATTTTATTATAATTTGACATCATAAACAAACATTAATCAAAAAAGTCAAAAGTCACTTTTTACCAACTTCTCAAATCATTTGTCTAAAAAAGTCAAAAATTTGATTAAAAGCCAAAAAACCACTTTTTACCATCTTCCCAAAATAAGCCTTATAAATTTGGTTGACAAAACAGTGAGAATTTGTGGTATATTCTGTAATTTATTTTTAGCCTCCGGTTCTCCGAGCCACAGAAAAGTAATAAGTAGCAGGGTGGCGAGCAGTGAAGATAGTAGTAACTGACAAGGACAACAAAACAAAAACAAACAAAAACAAACGCAAGCGCAAACGCAAACGCAGCGCCACCTCCGCGTTGTCGCGGCCACAACATCTCCTTTTAGCAATGAAAACCTAGCCAGCCTAGTAACAATAATAATGGCTTGTTTGAGCGACGATTCTTGCTTCGCTCTCTCCGACATGCTTTCCACTCACACCCTTCTCAGTAAAAGTAAAGAAGAAGATGAAGAGTCTTCCAATAATACTCTCGATTCCAAGTTCATGGAGTTGAGGTTAGAGAAGGTTTTCCCCGTTTATGCTATGGGGTTCTCCAAGCCCGACCCGCCTCCAATTGTCCCCCTTCTCAATTCGGACTATGCCTCCGATGATCCCATTTGGGACGCTGTCCGACAAGAGGCCAAGTTGGAGGTAACACACACACACACATACACACACACACACACACTACCTCTTTTTCTTTTTTCTTTTTGCAGTGAATAGCGAAGAAATTGTGAGTTTTTTCTGGGTTTTTCTCATCAAGAAGGAATGGTTCCATAACCTACTGTTTGGTTACCGTGAAAATGATGGAAAATTATGTTTTATTAGCTGGTACTGGTAGATTTCTGTTATTTTCCTAGGGGCTAAAATTTTATTAAAATCATATTCTAAATCTACTGCATTTATACATTCTATTACTATAAACATGCTCTGGAAATTTGGGATTTTTAATCTTTCTTTTATATTTCAAAATATCTAATTTAATTGTTAGTATAGTAATGACAACCTGATAAATTAATGGCTGAAATGCAACATTTCAGGCAGAGAAGGAGCCGATTTTAAGTAGCTTTTTGTATGCTAGTATTTTGGCACATGATTGTCTAGAGCAGGCGTTGGGATTTGTCATTGCCAATCGACTCCAAAGTCCCACACTCTTGGCTACGCAATTAATGGACATATTTTGTAAAATTATGATGGATGATCGAGCCATTCAACGTTCAATTCGCCTTGATGTGCAGGTTATTGGTTGGAATTATGCAAAACCGAACATGTTTTGTAGTGGTATATTGTTAATGTTGCAACTGGATGTTCTTTTAATGCTAAAAATTTTACCTATTTCAGGCATTTAAAGATAGGGATCCTTCCTGTTTGTCATATTGCTCGGCTCTCTTGTACCTTAAGGTACTTCATTCGTTAATTGATTGTTTCATTCAAATAGTTTAGTGAAGGAAAGTGGCATTATTTTTGTTATCTTCTTTAAGTCAATGACCGGCTTGATGCATTTGTCATCTTCCATTCCTGTTTCCTTCAATGTAAAGCATTGAATATAATAGGGATCCACTTGGTCACAAATTAATTATGTAGGGTTACCATTCTTTGCAAACGTATCGTGTAGCGCATGCTTTGTGGAACCAGGGTCGCAAAGTATTGGCATTGGCATTACAAAGTCGAATTAGTGAGGTAGTTCTTTTTGTTTATAATCCTTGATTCAACGTCACTACCAGATTCTAGAGACACTATTTCAGTTACTTCTCCTGATGTGGCTACTTTATATTTATCTAGGTTTTTGGAGTTGACATACACCCAGGTATGGTTTTTCTTGATTCTATTTATTGCCAATTGTGTGCTGTTAGTTATCTCATTAGTCAGTTTATTAAGTAGACTGACTTCTTCTTAGATGTCAGGCACACTTTAAAAACAGCAAGAAATTATCTTTTAAATTATTGGGACAGAATTCTTACGTTTTTATTTCCCAGAATTTTTTTCATGGAACCAATTGAAGAGAAGTTAGGCGTTATTTTGGTAAAACTTTGATAGATTATAGATTCAAGGACAAAAAAAATGATTGTTTCTGCCACAAATTAAGACTAATGCACCTTTCCCTTTTTTTTTTTTTGCCCCCTTCATTTGACTGTTTGTATCTATTTGAGAGTGTGAAAGGCTTCTTGCTTATAAGACACTGTGAGGGGAAATTTACCCCATCTTTTCTTCATATCTGGTAATTGTGTACAGCTGCAAAAATTGGAGAGGGAATACTGTTAGATCATGGGACGGGTGTAGTTATTGGCGAAACTGCTGTTATAGGGAATAGAGTTTCACTGATGCAGGTGAACCAGCTTTTTTCCTCCTTTCTTTCACCATTTGTCTTATAGATGATTCTGTCAACATCCTTGCAAACTAGCGAATAATGACTGGAAAGTAGATGACTAATTTTTATATTTCTCTTTTCCTGATGACTAATTTATTGAATTTGTTTGTTGCTAGGACTCAAGGAAAGTTACAATTACATTTAAAAAAATTATTGCAAAAAAATCTTGCAAACGGTAATGTGCAACGGTAATGTGCAAATAAAGCTTGAAATTGATTCCTTGCAAACTAGCGAATAATGACTGGAAAGTAGATGACTAATTTTTATATTTTCTCTCTTTTCCTGATGACTAATTTATTGAATTCGTTTGTTGCTGGGACTGAAGGAAAGTTACAATTACATTTAAAAAAATTATTGCAAAAAACTCTTGCAAACGGTAATGTGCAAATAAAGCTTGAAATTGATAACATAAACAATTAAATGAGACTGAATATTGCCATTTAACAAAGTGTGAAGCTATTTGCAATGAAACATGGATGAAGTTGGTTGACTCTTCGATACAGATGGGCCAGAGATATGATCCTTGGTAAATGCAAATGGTGGAGAAGGTTTTATGGAGCTGATTTAGAATTGCTTGGCTATAACTGTAAGATTTCTGAAAGTTTTCTGTATATTCCATTGTGTGTCAAAATACAAAGAATACATCTAATTATATAGTAAACCTAACCTTAAGACTAAAGGAAACACTGGCATATATATACACTTAAAACATTGCCATATATATATACACTTATACAATCTCTCAGAAAAGGAAACACTGCCTAATCTAATATTCTCACACCCCCGCTCAAACTCAAGGTGTTGTAGTAGAAAATACTGAGAGTTTGCCAAGAAGAAACTGAAACTGAGCAGTGGTGTGAGTCTTGAAAAAAGTCAGCAAGTTGCAAAGCCGAAGAAACGAAAGGAAGCGAGATAGAGTCAAACTGCAAATGCAGTGGAACCGGCGAGAGGTTGAAAAATATCCGAAGGACGGGCGCAGAATTGGATCGGAAATTGCTGAGAAGACAAGGCAGACATAGGTAAACAAACAGACATCCCTTTTTGGGAAAATGATACTTCCAATGGCCTCTTTGATGGCAAAAAGCACACTCATCTGATGTCAATGGCCCCTTCTTGAGCTTTGCTGGAGGCTAAAATTGATGGGTATCCGTCATTATGAGTGTATTCGTAAATAAGAACAATGAACACACTCACAATATTGGAAGTCAAATGGGTCTAACCAAAACCAGAGATACAAACTGTGGTCAAAACGTAAGAAGGGAGAAACTCCAGAACAGGGTCAAAATGTAATAAGAGAGATACTTCAACCAAATAATAGTACTGAAATCAGAATCACGAGCACAGAGACAAAGATAAAGACAGAGACAGAGAGAGACTGAAACAGAGACAGAGACCAGTAACAGAGCTTCCTAGGGCTTTGAACAATGACAACAGTGAGAAAGAGATGATGCAACAACCAGTGACCTGGTTCTTAGGTCAACCTGGTTCTTCGACTAAAACAGAAACAGAGGCAAAGACCAAAGGAAGAGTTCTGATGATCACGATCCAGAGAAATCCAAAGGAGGGTCAAGACGAATGTCCTTTCAACTAGTGAAGACGAACCACAATGGCAATGAACTAGAGCCAAAATTGCGAGGTTCAGAGACGTCAAACGATTCAAAGATGCCGACAATAGAGGAGTTATGAACCAAACTGGAGAACCTACGCGAATCAGACGACGACTCAAACAGAGAACCAAACGAACCAAATCCAATCTTGAACCAGATGGGTTGCACGTATTTAGAAAGTTGAACCAAAGAACTCAACGAAGCAGAGATACTTCAGAACAAGTTAAAGGACCAAATAAAGAGATCACCCAAGCAAAGTGTTAGAATTTCCCATCTTTACCTTCACCTACTCCACTACACACTCCACTTCACCTACCTCCACTTCACCACACACTCCACTTCACCTAACCCACTATCACCTCCACTACACCTACTACCACATTTTCTTCTATATATAGATTGTATAGGAATTGTAATTTACCAATCTTGTAATACAGAATCAATCAACAACAATCAATAATACATCTATTTTTTCTACACAAAGAAATCACCAACTGAAGTTGAGAGAACCAAAAAGAGAGACAGATTGAGCTGTGAAGAGACTAATCACTGCTACCATGTCGAATAGATGAGTCGACTAGATGGGTCACCCAAGTCGTCCAGAAAGAAGATGTTGAACCACATCAGAGGTTGAAAGAAGAAACAGACCCAGACAAAAGACCCAGACGAACCAAAATCAGACAGCTTCGATCAAGACTAACGAACCAGATGACAGCTTTGATCGAGACCAACTAACCAGAATCAAAGAAATTGAATAGAAACAATGACCCACGATGAGTGTCGAGTCGAGTTTCTGAACCGGAAATAGAGACGACGGCCCTTTGCGATCAGGCCCAGAACAGAGAGTCGCGACTTCGACCTAGAGACAAGAAGTTGTCGCGACTTCGTAGAACCACCAAAAGATCACCCAAGCAAGGAGGCCAAATTGTAAATAAGAGCAAAGCAGCGTAGAAATAGATTGAGAGGGACAAAATCAAACACCTTTTCGATCGCGTGAATCAAAGCTAGAGAGAGAGAGTTCAGTCGAACCATGATCGTGATTCTAGAGAAAGAGAGAGAAGTATTGATAGAGTCAAAAGTCACGAACACAGAGAGGATCTAGAGAGAGACAAAGCCGACAAATCTAGAATAGCAAAGAAGAATATGAGAGCGAACAGCACTAGGGTTTCAAACCTAACTCTGATACCATGTAAGATTTTTAAAAGTTTTTTTTATATTCCATTGTGTGTCAAAATACAAAGAATACATCTAATGTTATAGTATACCTAACCTCAAGACTAAAGGAAACACTGCCATATATAAACTTAAAGCACTGCCATATATATATACACTTATACAATCTCTTAGAAAAGGAAACACTTCTCACAATAACACTGTATTGAAGTGAGTGATCTTAATGATAATGGACTTTTTTTTTGGTTTTTATTCTGTGATACTACTTTTGTTTAGATGCCTTTTTATTTTGCCTAGTCCCCCTGGCCTAGGGGCCTAAGGTTCATAAAGGATACTTTTGTGTTTCATATTTGTAGTATTGTATCTTTCCTTTCCTACTTGAAATGACGAAAACGCCATGCAAATGAGAGAATTTCTTTCTGAAATTTTAAATTAGATATGAAACTTGGGATCTTCCTTTAAGGTAAGATGTGTGAGACTCTATCATTGAAAGATTTCAGAGACGGTTGATGGATTGGAACTTGCAAGAAATATTATTTGTCCAAAGGAGGTGCACTAACACTAATCAAAATTAATAGCTTGCTGACTTATTTTATGTCTTTCTCCACTATCCCAATTTCAGTTGCGAAGAGGCTTAAAATATGGACAGGGATTTTTTGTGGTCTCTTCCTTGTTATTCATCATTAATTTTTGTAGTGCTATTGAAGAGGAACTAATGGGCAAAGAGCAAAACTTGGGGCCTAGGGGTGTGCTCCCTCCAGGTCTCAGGTTCAATATCCACTAGCAACAATAAACTCCTTGGGGCTATGTCCATACAGGGCATTGGCCTTGGCTTTAAATAGGCCCCCTGTAAGTGGGCGGTGGGATTGGTCTCCTGGGATTAGTCAAGGTGCGCATAAACTGGTCCGGACACCCTGTTATCAAAATAAAATAGGAACTAGGATGGCTCCATTGTGTGTTGTTATGCTTTGAATTAGTATTTGGCTTACATATTAATTTGGGAGAGACTACGCTCATCAAAATGGGAGATGTGAATGCTATAGATCAATTGGGCCTTTGGGTTGTATGGCCAATTGTCTATCCACAATATATTTGGATATGCCTCTTGGTGCATCATTTAAATCCAAAGATGTTTGGGATGGTGTGGTGAAGAAAGAAGCTATCAACATGAAAGAGGTAATATCTTTCTAAAGGGGGAAGGTCAACGTTAATCAAAAGCACTTTGTATAGCCCTCCTACTTGATGTCTCTTTTCACTATTCCTTCCTTTGTCACTCGAAGATTGGAGAAATTGCACCGAAATTCTTGTGGGGAGACATTGGGGAGGAGTTTAAATATCATTTGGGTGGGTTTGGGATAAGGTGTGTTTGCCTATTTAGCAGGGAGCCTTAGGGATTCATAATTGGGAGAATTTTAAGAAAGCTTTGTTAGGTAAGTGGTTATGAAGGTTTGCTTTTGAGCATGATAGGTTATAGAGGTTGGTGGTTGACAGCAAGTATGGGAGGGGTTGGGGCAATTGGTTTGTGAGTAGAGTTGTTGGGCATTTCATGGGAAGGGTCTTTGGAAATGAATCATGAAGGGGTGGGATGATTTTGCTAAAAGGTTATCTTTCTTTGTAGGGGTATGGAAGGAAGGTGAGATTTTAGTTGGATTCTTGGTGTGGCCATTGGCCACTGAAGGAAGTGTTTCATAATTTGAACCAGTTAGCCATTTATCTTTATTCAACTGTAGAGAACTACTTGGTGGTGTCACATAGTGGTATTGTGTGGAATCCCAAGTTCCAAAGGGCATTTAAGGACTGGGAGCTTCTGTCCCGACCCCAACCCGCCCTAGAGGTTTAGGTTGTGACCAGCCTGTAATCCCAGATTACCCGGCCTCAAAGATAAAACGGATAATTCATAATAGTAAACGGGGCATTGTGGAAGCATTATTAAAACATAACTGTGTCCGTCGAGCGGTGCATATATGCAAATTTCATGACATTTAAAAACTTTAGGGTTCTTACATCGAAACAAGTATATAGATACATCACCACATCGTTAACATTCATACAAGCATCCATACACAGCAAGTTTCCAAATAACAAAAGAAAAACAAAACTAAAGGTTGACACAGCTTGGCTCCTCTTAAGTCCAAGCATGCCCCATCGCAGAGGCACTCCAAAGTGGTTGCACAAAAGGTGGACTCTTGAGATTGCTCTAGACTTGATGCTCCATTTGCTCATCTACATATATATAGGGGAAAGGGGTGAGTTAAAGCCCAGTGAGTAATACTAGTAGAAAGAGGTTAAATGAATGATGTCTATCATAATACAAAATCATATCATATGAGTTTCGAAGCGAAGCATAGATGAGTACTTGTCGTATCAAAGTTCACTAATCATATTCATATGTAGTACATTCATTAGCGCAAAGCAAAGGGCCCGAAGGCATATCAAAGGAACCACATGGGTCTAACAAAGGGACCATATAGGTCAAGCAAATGGACCATTCGGGTTAATATCAGAGATCTCTGTGCACGTATAATAAAGGGCCATGGTATTGTTTCCCCTTGGTGAGGGCCTTATTAACGAAGGGCCGTGGTATTATTTCCCTCGGGCAAGGTCCTTATCAAACAAAGGGTCATGGTATTATTACCCCCAGGTAAGGGCTTCACTAAAGGATGCCACAATTACTTTCAAAAGAGACAATCATTCATTCTTATCAAAATAGCACTTCCAAATAATATTCTTGCAATTAATCAAAATACGTTTTAACAACATATCTTTACAAAGATACTACTCACAGTGGGTTGGTACGAGTGTTTGATCTCGGATAACCACCTACACAAACACATAACAAAGATACACATTGAAGCACACGTTCTTAACAGATAGTGTATCATAATTCAATTCTGTGTATCATAATTCAATTCTCATACGTGTGTTTCTAACTTAATCCATGGCTAAAGATGTCTAAATGATGCTAAAGAATGTCAAAAAGAACATGAGGATGCAAATATGCACTTATAAGTGTTTGCCAAAATTTGCTAAAAAGAGGGTGTTCGCTCGAGCACACCTTTGGTCCCTCGAGCGGTGTGGCCTGACTACAAAACTATGTTACAGAGACTCGGGTACGGGTATCGGGTGCAGGTGTGTATCTAGGGGTCGGACACTTCAAAATTAAAAATTAAGGATACGTGGATATGTATCCAAATTTGGATATGAGTACAAGGATACGTTAAATAGTTTTTTTTTAAATATATATATATATTTATTATATGAAGATGAGTTATATTATATAAATAACAAATAAAAATTATAAAAATTATTTTAGATATAAAATAAATTATATTGTATATGATAAAATAAGTTATTTTTATTTTAGACATAAAAATTATATTATTTATAATATATTATATTATATAATTTTTTTAGATGAATAATATTATATATTATTATATTAATGTAATTTATATTATATACTTATATAATATAAAGAAGAAGATAAGAAAATAGAATAGAGAGAACAGAGAGAAGAAAATAGAGGGAGATCGAGAGAAGAGAGAAGAGAAGAAAGAAGAAAATAATATTAAAGAAGAAAATAGATTAGAGAGAAGAGGAGAAAGAAGAAGAGAGAAGTCAGACAGACAGAAGAAGAGAGAGAGAGAGAGAGAGAGAGAGAGAGAGTAGAGGGAGATCGAGATCGAGAGATGAGAGGAGAGGAGAGGAAGAGAGATCGACAGATCGAGAGACAAGAGAGAAGACAAAGCAAGAGATGGAGATCGAGCATCGAGCATGTCGAAGCAATGACTAGAGGAATCGAAGTCGGCGACCGATGTCTTCGGTGTTTCGGCAGGCGACCAGGTTCTCTGTTGCTCTTTCCTCTTTTATTTCTTTTCCTATCTGTAAAGAGCCATGTCTGAGAGAGAACAGGCGAATCCGACACAAATCCCACACCCGTACCCGTGTCGTGTCGTGTTGTGTCGACAAGGGTACTTCGCCCCAGAGTGCCGAGTCCATGTAACACAACTACAAAAGTACTGGATGGTGTCAAAGTAGACTTGATGTGCGCTTGAGCTAGGTGCAATGCAAAGTCGAGTTAGCTCGAGCGCACACTTGGTCGCTCGAGCCAACTGCAAAAGTCTGCAAAAATACTAAGAGCATGCAAAGTGTGCGGGAGCGACAACTTCACCGCTCTAGCGAGGTGGACGAATTTTGAAATTTCCAGAACATAACTTGAAGTTCAAAAATGCACCTTTCATGTTCAAAGCTTGCATGATTGTACCAAACTCATGAAGATTCATAGAAAAACATGCATATATACTTAATTTGAAACCATGAGCTTAAAAACACCATGAATTGTCAAGTCTGAAACCAAATTCTTTATGCATGCATGGAATTGTGGTCAAATTCCCTTAAAAACCTTCAAACATGAAATTAAACTCTTGAAAACTTGAAATTCTTTTATTCAACTCTTAATTTGACAAGAGCACTAGAATTCAAGCTCAAAATGCTCAATGTAATGAAATTATGCATGCATGTCCAATTTCAACCCATATTCACTAAATTCATGGTGATCCTGGCTTATTCTTTACAAATTCATGCAAATGGTCCTACAACTTGGTGAATTCAATCTCTACATGGATTATTTACAAGAATTGAGGGTGATAATCTTGCCTAGAGCTTGAATTGAAGTTGAATCAGCTAAAGTTTTTCAAATCCTCTTTAGTTCTCTACAATTCTCTCTCTCTCTCAGCCACTTGATATCAAATATGAACTCCTAAACATGATTAAGGCATATATATAGGTAGATTAAGTGAGGTTAATTAAGTAGGATTAAAGCTAATCAATTAAGATTAATTCTAATCAAATCTAATTAATTTATTCTAATTGTTTTGATCCAAATTAAATTTTGATTAGACTTACCATATGGTTCTAAATATTCTAATTAACTTATTGGACTAGTCAATTTCGGTTTCTGAATCAGTTTCAGCTTTCAATTTCGAATTCTAAATCGGTATTCTAGCAAATAATTCACAAACAAACAGATAGTCACAAATTAAACGTATAATTATGCAATTATGCTCAATAAAATAATATATAAAATAAACACATATGTCGGGGTCGTCACAGCTTCAGTCCATGAAGGCCTTCTTTTCTTTGTTGTATCATTCAGATATTTAATGTGGCGGTCTTGGATATGGGTTGGAGGACATCTAAGCATGGAGTTTTCTTAGTTCGTTCTTTTTACATTGATTTGGTCAATGGTGGAGATTCATCTTTTCCTTGGAAAGATATATGGCAGAGTATGACCCTCCTGAGGTTGCTTTCTTTGTTTGGTCAGCAAACTTTCAAGTCATTTTTACCATGGATAATCTTACAAAAATATGAAAGGTGATCTTGGATTGGTGTTGCATCTGTAAGAAGCTTGGTGAATCTGTCAATCAACTTATTCTTCATTGTCCGGTTGCTAGTAATTTGTGGAATATGATTCCATAAGAAAGCCTAAAGAATCACCATTTCATCTCATTCCAATTAACCATTTTTTAATGATCTCTTATTAGTCATTACAGAAAAAAAGTAAAAAAGAAAAGTAGTAATGTTTTATCTTTATTAGACTTGTTTTGTTGTGTTGTGGCTATCATGTGTACCTTTTATTTTGCTATAATTTACTAACAATTTCTATGTTACATGGACTCTTCAAATTAAATCAAATACCCGTGTCGGACACCCGACACTCGGACAAGGGTATGGGATATGTGTCGGATACTTTTCAACGGATACTTCATATATAATTGTATATAACACTATTATTATATGTATATATTGTTATATAATTGTTATAAATGTCATTTTGACACTATAAGTTAAATATAATACCATTTTATCTCACATATTAGATTAAAAATATAAAAATATGACATTTTTTTGCCGAGTCCGCGTATCCTTAAATTTATGATTTGATGAGTCCGACCTCTAGATACATACCCACACCCGACACCCGTACCCGAGTCCATGTAACATAGAACAATTTACAAGGACATTTTACGTATGTCAAGAAATGATTCTTTTTTGGAAATTGCATTCTGCTTATAAAAAAAAATGTTTTGACAGGGTGTAACATTAGGAGGAACTGGGAAGGAAATTGGTGATCGCCATCCAAAAGTACGTCAAGGGGCACTGATTGGAGCTAGTGCCACTATACTGGGGAACATAGAAATAGGTGAAGGTGCAATGATAGCTGCTGGTTCCCTTGTATTGAAGAATGTAACTCCACACAGGTAGGAAATAATGCGTTCTGGTTTATTATTCACAGGATTGTATTGAAGTAGTAACTTATCAGTATGGAATTAATTGTCATAATGATGCAGTTGTAATTTCTTGGTTTTGAAGCATGGTGGCAGGAATACCGGCAAAGGTGATTGGTTATGTGGACGAGCAAGATCCATCTCTAACAATGAAGCATGGTACATAAAATATATGAGCATAGACAAAAATTATATTATTTATGTCCTAGGTTATCCCATCTGCAACTGGGAAAGAGACTCTGCATTTGTTTAGTATTGCTGTGTCCTCAGGGGGTATGGAGCCTCCTAAACAGTCACTTCCTCTTGGATGGCCACTAAATCATCATCTAAAAATTGAGATCCAAATCTAAGCATGCTACTTCTGTTAATTTAGGGAAAGTGGTTTATTTTCTTAAATCTTGAATACCTGTCCTAAAGTAGCAGTTGAGATTGTGCGAAAGGGGCCTGAATAGGTTAATTGTTTGAACAATTACGTTTTTATGTAGTTTCTACTGGAATTTAGGTGGGGAAAATGGAAAAGAATGAGGAGATTTTGATGTATAATATAAGAAGCTTAAGGAAGGCTAAATTCAAAGAAGGGATGATATTTAGACATTGGCATGATTTTAATTAATTTAGGGAAAGTGGTTTATTTTCTTAAATCTTGAATACCTGTCCTAAAGTAGCAGTTGAGATTGTGCGAAAGGGACCTGAATAGGTTAATTGTTTGAACAATTACGTTTTTATGTAGTTTCTACTGGAATTTAGGTGGGGAAAATGGAAAAGAATGAAGCGATTTTGATGTATAATATAAGAAGCTTAAGGAAAGCTAAATTCAAAGAAGGGATGATATTTGGACATTGGCATGATTTTAAAGAGATCCTAATGGGAATTTTATATAATAATGTTTCTACTATTATTAGAATCTAATTTTATGATTATTTTTATGTTTTTTAGATTTTTTAGGACAAGGGTATTTTGATAATTTTCATTATTGCTGTCATGGGTTGTAGGGGGTCGCTCATGGGTCGTATTGTGGGTCAAGTTATTTAATTGGGTTTTATTTATGTTTCTTATTTAGTTTTAAATTGGTTTTAGAAGTCAAAGACATTTTAGTAGTTTCCTTTTTGGTTATAATTGGTTTAGGAAGTCACAAGTCTATATAAAGTTATGGAAAAATGCTTGGTAGCTCGAATTTGTGTGATCATTTTGATACATTCGAGCCATTTAGGCCACACAAATTCTAGCTACCAAGCATTGTTGTTATGTAATACTTCTAATTCAATAGAGTTGATATTTTATAGAATTTCAAGAGCTTTAGGTGTGATGCAACCCTAACCCCAGGTGTGATGCCTACGAAATTTAGATGCGATACCTAGACCTATCTTCTTCTTTTCTTTTATTTCTTCCTTAAAGTTCAGCACTTACACAGCCTAATTACTGTTCACGGGTGCTGTTCACAGCACCCAGAACAGTCCCAAAAATCATTCATCCTTCTTGTTACATTAAGCCCTAAACCTAATTCGTCCTTATACTAATAGAAGCCCTAACTTCCCCATTACTTTTCAGCTTGAACTCAGAATAAAAAACCACAGAAATTTGGCATTACGGCTCTTACAGCGCTGTCCCTAATCTTCCTGCATCAGATTCAGTTAACCATTAGTAATTCTTTTTGTAGAACAATATGTACCTTGAAAATGACGTCAGGATGTTTGTGATTACCAAAGGTCTTGTAATATTGCTAATGAGGGAAGGCCTAGCGCAACGGTAAGGATGCTCCATTGCAACCTGAGCAGCACAGGTTCAAACCACAGAAATACAGATGACCATTCCCAGACCCAGCAGGGGCAGGAGCCTTGTGCACTGGGACTGCCCTTTTTAATTGCCTAGTTTGTAATATTGTTTTTCAAAACTGTCATTTTAATACTTTTTGCATTTCGTTCATTTATGTCCTTTTCTCATAATAATTGTAGTGTTTTTACTTGAATGTGCAGATGCCAATAAAGAATTCTTTGAACATGTGGCTGTTAGTTGCATGGAGGGGAGATCTTCTGGTAAGTTATCTCAATAGATTTGTGATTGTGATCCCCTTCTATAATACAACATTTTCTGGAGAAGAGGTATCAGTGAAAATCTCAAGATGGAAGACCATAGATTGTCTGGTATAGAGAAATGTTTGGGAATTTTTCTGTCCCCTACGAATTATTACACTTCGCTAATCAACCTTGATTTTTTTCTTTAATTAAATTTTTTTTTTCCTGCAAATATGTTTTTTGGTGAAAAATCTTGCATAGTGCAGAGTAAAAAAGTATGAATTGCATCGGTTGGTGTGATTGAGGATATTTGGTTCCTTGAGAACAATTTAAGGAGAGACAAAGTGGATTTATAAATTCAATGAGCAGAGTTTATCAACCATTACTTGAACAAATTTTGCTCCAACCAGACCATTTAATTATACAATAGCAGCAGCTGTGAGAGATGAATTGACACCTAAAACCAAAATGGGAAAGAAAGAAGTACTATTAAAAATTAAGTATATAATATACAAGAATTACATGCACTGGTGTACTTCTAATCATTTTACTATCGAATTGATTTCCGAAATGAATTATAATTGTTACAAAGGCAAACTAATATGAAACTTAGGCGTTGAGCGTGTTAGCTGGCCATGTTCCCATATTTGGTGGTTTATGTGCCCCTGGTTAAGCTAGGCTCATAACCCCAATAACCATTCTTGGAGATATGATGTGACGCCAGGCTGACTACGTGGCAATAATGGTCATACAGATCCCACAACAATAGGAAGTCCTATATAAATTATCTAGTATACTTCAAGTAGAAACATGCCTGGTAGGTGCATGTCCAATTAGATACATTCACTACATTCCATATTCACTAGCATCATGTGTCCCACAGATAGGTACTTCATGCATTTAATTGAGTCCTTGCCACCATTAGCACATGACCCATCTGCCCTCTCTTAGCAAAAACCTAAATAAAGGTGGGTGAAGCATGTTGCACTAGAAAACATGAGAATCATTCTTATTGCCTATAAAAATGGCTTGCCACTTTTAAGTATCGAAAACATCCTTATGATGGCATATGTATATAAATTAAAAGTTGACAAGCTATTTAGGTTTAGGAGAATTTGTTATTTTCTTTAGTTTAAATTCCTACTCTGTGATTGTCACCATAAATCATGGGACTCGAAGGAATTTAATAAGTTTAAAGGAACAGAGAGACGGAGAAATTTGTTTGGGCATAACATAATTGAACATCTAGAAGGCTAGAACATATCATATACTAGAGAAGACACCACCAGTATGTACCCTTCTTTCACAACTTTCTACTCCGAAACATTATGATTTGGTATGTTTTACCTCAGTTTTTTAGTGTGAGACAGTCTTCTATGACCACCGAATTCATCAATTTTGTGCTTTTCTTGTGGAGAAGTGAAACAAGCAATGAGGTTATAACTTATAAATGTTGGGAAATTTGAGTTTGCTTGAATTTGAGATTCAGGTAGGAAAATTTCAATCTCGAAGTTTCCAAAGTCAATGTGAGTTGGTGACTTGTTGGAGCCATAAGTTTCTATAGTGACTCCAGGCTTATCCCATATGTCACCTCCACTTGTTTTATAGGCTCACAAACTTTGTTCCTTACCCTGTACATCCTAATGCATGCGCATAATAGATGTTGATTGGCTGAAAAGAAAATGGTAGCAAGCACCTTCTGTTTGTTGTCCTTGGCTTGGTAACTTTAGTGTGATGTTTTCTCATGACTCTTAATGATGACAACAATTGTTTGACAGTGGAGAAACAATACTAGAATTTGATGAAACGCAATGCCCTTTTTTTTTTTTTTTAAATGACGTGTTGCTTTTCTTCGCAGCCTCTAAGGACTACCTTGGTTGGTCTATTTGTGGTTATTTACCTGGCTAAATTTGATGTTTGACCTGGACTGTTGTTGTGAACATGTTTGTCAGAATTATATGATTCACAATTTGATTCGCATGATTCAATACAAAATTAACGAAAAGCGATTTGAATCATGCTGTTGAAGTATTAAATTGAGTGAATTGTACAATTTAATTGCGTGTCAATTTTGTTTGCATGATGTATGAAATGACATCGTTTTCACAAACTAAAAATAGTGACCAACTAATTTTATTGATATGTGTAGTTTTATGTGTATATACATATGTACGATTTAGTTATATTGATATTTATTTCATTTTAAACATTACGTATGTATTTTTATATGTATAAACTATATAATAAAACTTTATATCATGCTAAACAAAATGAATCTTATGATTCACTATTTTAACAAAATAATTTACGATTTGATTTTTGATTTGACAACAATGGTTGTGAATGGATATAGTTTGCGGATATCTCATTTTAATTGAACTTTCATCCCATGGCATGTCTGCTGCAATTTTTTCACTGATTTTCATCTTCATTAAACTGCGTTTTCAGGAGCGTTCAGGACAGAATGAAATAAGGGGGCACTTGAAGTGGTAATGTATTTTTCCACTTGCTTTTGTTGGAGAAAATGATATATCCTCCTGTATTCAACATTTGAGGTATAAAATTTCATGTATAGATTCAATAGGTCATTTTAATCATTTACAGTCCCTTGCAATTTATGCTGATATGAATTTCTCAAATGGGATTTTCCAAGTCACAAATATTACACAGGACAGAAGTGCCCATCTCCCGTTTATTTCTTAGTTTTTTCTTCCTAGAGAAGTCCTTACCTTGGCCAGTGGTGTGAGAATCGTTTTATTTATGAGTTTAATGATAGACTTTCGTGTCCAATGGGTACCTTCTTCGAGTAGGTGTGAAGCATTTGATCTTCTTGGTGTTGAGTACCTTCTGCAGATCAATGATATATTACAATTGAAAGTGCATTGACACATTGGAGGAACATTGTAGTCAGCACTGACATCTGCTGTAATTTATGCTCTGTTTGTTTTGGTAGAAAATATTTCCGAACAAAAACATTTTCCAAATAATTTTTCTTTTAGAAAATATTTTTTTATGTTTGGTTGCATTATTAAGATTAATATATTAATAATTGCATTTGTGGTGAGGAGGCGGTGGAGGTGGTAGTGGTAGTCGCAGCATTGGTGGTCATGGTGGCCGTGGCAATGGTGGTGTGGTGCTAGAGGTGATGGTGGCAATGGTAGTGTAATGACATTGATAAAGTGTGTCTATTTAGTTTGATTTTCAAAATTAGATTAGTTTTCATTTATTTTTAGTAATTTTTTTTTATATTTTAATCAAATTTTTTATACTTTTTAGATGCACTTAATCAAGATTTATCTAAAAATTAAAATAAATTGACTAAAAATAAACGAAGATTTGAACAAACATCTGTGTGCATTTTTGTTTATATTTTCGTTTGTTTTTAGTGATTTTTATTTTTATTTTTTATAGTTTAGTTAAAAATAATTATTTTGTATATGCATTTAAAAAGTAAATAAATGGACTACATATGTCAAGACCGGTGGTCTGGCAATGACGATGACTACAAATCAGGTGTTACCTCCACCCTTATCATCGTCATTGATTACAGTTAAGACACCACATAAATTTGTCTAATGAGCAAATAATAATTTTATCTGTATGAGTAGTTAATGTTCATTTATCATCTAAGGTGAGCAAAACGAGTCCATATAATTTTAGAGTATTTTTTGTATGGCTTTAAAGTTGGAGAGTTGAAAAGTAAAATAATTGTTTTATTCTCAACTTTAAAAAAAAAATTAAATTAAATTCAGTTGTTTTAAAAAAATTATTCTAAAATTACTTAAGAAAAATTATTTCAAAACTACTTGCGTTGTGTTTGGTTGGGGGATTTGAGGAGAGATTTGAAAAGGAAAAAGGAAAAATTAGATAAAATGTAAATAAAATATATCTATATTTTATTTAGTTTCACACATTTTCTTCTTTTTTCTTTCTAAATCTCTCCTTAAATCCTCTTTTGTTTTTTTTCCGATTCTGTGAAATTTTTTATTTTTTTTATAATTGGATGTTTGAAATAATGTACACGCACCTTAACTAATTTCAAGAAATCAATTCTACCTTCCATTTGCGGGGAATTCATTTAAAGTCGGAGCAAATACTCTATATGAACTGTCCCAATGAGCTTATTAGAATTAGTGATTATTGAACCTAGAAGGAATACACCCCCAAGTCCCAAGTAGTGCTTATTAGACCAACCCCTTGAGACTATTCTGTGAAATTCTTTGCAACCAGTTGTTTAGGAGCAATTATTTGATAATTCTAGAGCAATACTTAGGTCACATTTATTTGGCGGATTAGATTGGATGGAATTGTGAGTGTGATAGTATTTAGTTATAAAATTATTAGTGTGATAATATTAGATTAGAGATGTAAAATAAAATGTGTTTGTTTGTACACCATCAAATTAGTAATACCATGTTAATAATTCTTTTATGTTTTGCTATTTTTGAATGGTATTAATGTATGAAATTTCACAGTTGTCCTTCTTTCATTGGTAGAATGATGTAAAGTAAGGGGTAAAATTGTATTTAGGCATCAATCTCAACTCGCCCATGGTTAAGTTACGGGAGCATCTATTTACACATACCAAATACTCTCTTTGCACATCTTTCTCACTACACACACCAAAAAAATTAATTCCTAATTAATCTACTCACTACACACACGGTTTATTCCACATCTGCCTCACACACACACACACACACCCCCCAACCCCAAACCCAGCTCTCTCCCAACGGTGCAAATACACACACCCATTGAAGCTTAAGCTACATCTTCAACCTTGAAGATACATACACCCATTGAAGCTTATGCTACATCTTCAACCTTGAGGATACACACACCCATTGAAGCTTACCATGTGCAAATACACACACACAGCTTTCATCCCCAAAGCTTTCATCCCCAAATACACACAGAGCTTTCATCTTCAACCTCTGTCAGTAACAATAAATCACAAACCTACTGTTGAAATAAATCACAAATGAATTAATCAAAACGTAGAGTTTTGTTTTTATCATTTTGAAAACGGACGAAGGCCCACGGAGTGTAAACAAATCGTTCGGAACTGGTTTGCCGAAATTAATTCATTTGTTCGGAAGTAGGATTCCGAAATTGGTGATTTATTTCAACAGTAGGTTTCCGAAACTTTTTGATTATTTCGGCAGTCAACTTCCGAATATATTAAATTCAAACAACAATCAAGTTCCGAAATTAATTTTTTGTTTCGGATTTCAACTTTCGAACAGTATATATACTTTCGGTTTTAAACTTCCGAACAGTGTTTTTCTTTTTTTTCTTTTTCTCCCTTCTTATGTATATTCCTTTTACATTTGTGGTAATCTCTTATTGAGTGATAAATAATTTGAGAAAATGTATTAAAATTTTAATTATTGTAACATAATTTATACCTATATGAATCAATCACTACGTATTGTATTTGATATTATTTTCAAATGTAATGACATTGCATGTTTTGTATAACATCACAAATTTTTAATGGCATTATAAAAATTAATTTGCAATTCAAAACTCTAAATTTGGTATACAGTTTGCAAATTTTTTTTTTTACTTCATTCGGAAGTAGTTGTCCGAATTTATTTTCAACTTTCGGAAGTTGAATGTTGTAAAAGTTAACTTTGTTCGGACAACAACTTCCGAAATTAAATAATTGGTTCAGACAACAACTTCCGAAATTTATTAGTTTGTTCGGACAACAACTTCCGAAAATAAATAATTATTTCGGTAGTAGATTTCCGAACCAAATAACACAATTCGGCTCTGGTTATCCGAACGACGCTGGAAAAAAGAAAAAGAAAAAAGAAACTCGCATTTCCTTCGCTATGTTTCTCATAAACACTTATTTGATGATTTTCATAAGATAAATCCTCCATATCAATGATGAATGAGGAAGAAGCTATGAATAAGGAAGGTTGAAGCTTCAATTTCAACGTGAAGTTTGGATGTATGCATTGAGATGAACGTGAAGTCAGGATGTGTGCATTGAGATGAATTTGGTTGATGTCTAAAATAGTAATTTCATTTAGGGATAAAATTGTAATAAAATTAAATATCATTAAGTGTGTGTATAGAGGGGATTAGGTATGTGTATATAGAGGCTCCCTTAAGGTACTCCAGCCATAATATTGGATTGTTAATTCACTTGGCGTCTTAATCCTACAGGACATCCAAATGGTGAACCTCACCTCATATACAATCCATTCACGTCCTTCACGCAGCCAAACAAACCAGCCCTCAGTTTTTCAAATTATACATTTGCTCTTCAAAAGTTAACATAAAAGTAACAAGTCCTGTTGTTTCAATGAATAAAATATCATTTCAAATACTACATGGATTTGGAGGCTTTTTCCATATTAAATCTATTTTACATCTTAATTCTCAAATTAGGTTTAGTTTGGACAGAATTCCCAAACTAAACTAAAGCGCTATTACAAATTGTGCTTTCACTGCTTGGAGCCCAAAATGTGATGAATAGTGAAAGTGCTATTAAAAACCGCGCTTTTAATTAATAAAGCGCTGTTGAAAATCACGCTTTTAACATTTTTTTTTTTTAAGAAAATACTATTCGAAATAGCGCTTTCATTGTGCATTCGTATTCGGAAGAAAACGCTATTTGAAAACTGAGTTTTTTTATTTTCGTATTTTTTTGTTTTTAGTGAATATTTTTAAATTTTTAAATTTTTTTTTTTTACTTTTTTAGATGCACCTTAGTTAGATGTATGTAAAAAGTAAAAAAATTGTAAAAAAATATTTTACAAAATTAATAAATACATAAAAATATAAACAATGTACTGAAAAAATATTTTTGTATTTTTAGTATCTTTTCAGCAAATTATCATTTTTTTCAGCAAAATGTACTCAAAAAAATATGCACAGTGAAAGTGTATTTCAAAAATATTTTTTCAGCAAAATGTACGCTTTTAAAACATACTAAAATATTTTAAAAGCGTACATTTTTTTTATTTTTTCATAAATATATAAAGTATAGAGTGAATGAAAAAATACAAAAAATGTACTGAAAAAATTAATACAAAATATTAATTTTTTCAGCAAAATGTACGCTTTTAAAATATTTTGGTACATTTTAAAAGCGTACATTTTGCTGAAAAAATATTTTTTGAGTACGCTTTCACTGTGCATAATTTGCTGAAAAGATACTAAAAATACAAAAATATTTTTTCAGTACATTTTTTGTATTTTTATGTATTTATTAATTTTTTAAAATAATTTTTCACAATTTTTTTACTTTTTAGATACATCTAACTAAGGTGCATCTAAAAAAGTACACTGAATACTTTTTAAATAATCATGTTGACATTTTGAAAAAAATTGTATTTTATAGAAAAAAATTTTAGTTAACCAAACAAACATTTTACTTTTTTTTTTGATAAAAAAATTACATAATAAATATATAAAGTGTAGGGTGAGTGGAAGAAAAAAACAAAAAAAGCAATTCCCGCAGATTGAACCCACGCCACTGTAGTGGCAAGACAAGCACACTACCATTTGTGCTACAAAGCATTTGTATTTTACTTTGGTCACATTTTAATATATTTTAAACGTTTTCTTAAGAAAACAGATATGCACAGTAAAAGTGCGATTTCAAATAGCGTTTTCTGTAGGAACAGAGAGTGAAAACGCTATTTCAAATAGCGTTTTCTTCAAAAAAAAAATTATGTTAAAAGCGTGATTTTCAACAGCGCTTTCTTAATTAAAAGCGCGGTTTGCAATAGCGCTTTCACTATTTATCACATTTTGAGCTCCAAACAGTG